TGAAAAAGTATATAATGGATTTTCTTTACCGTTTCCTTTCCTTTAACAAACAACTTTTCTAACCATTAAATATGTCAGTATTGATAGCTTTTATCAAGGGTCTTTTGTTCGCCTTGACTAGTCGGCTGCCTTGGTTCTTGCGCTTCCCAGAATAAAAGCAAACAATGCAATAAATTCAGCATATGACATCCTGGTCCACTTTTTGGATTTACATTTCAGATTGTCAATGCTGTTGCATTAGAGAATCAGCTCGGCTCTACAACACATTTGATATGACTAGAATTTCCACCCACTGTGAGAGGTATAACATTTTTTATCTGCAAATGTAAGATAATCTGTAAGTGTCTGCCGGGTCTTACTGCAAATCAAATTTACCAAAATCATTCCTCGCAATACACAAGAGGAGCAAGACTGTGTTGAATGGTTGAATCCTCTGTCTCTGAAAGAGAAAAGTCAACATAGGACTTTTATATACAGTTGGACCTTCTTTACTCATCTTAAAGTGACGATAAGTTGGCTATACTCTCGAGTAATCGTGCTGTAATCGGATTTGCCAAGAGCCCAAGGCTCGGGCTATGCAAGAGAATCCAAATCCGGAATCCCTGAAATATTTTTGCTAATGGTATCTGGAATCCTGGAAATTTTGCTTGTGGAATTCGGATCCTGGGCTTTGGAATCCGGAATGTAGCTCAAGGATATCAGGAATGCCACTAACGATTGGAAATGGGGGATCCACGACGTGGAATTCAGAATCCAGGATTGTCTTGGATTCCCTTACATGGGGCGACAAGGCGATGCTCTCACCCCAGATATCCGGCGAAACTGGAATTCATTGATGACTTTATTTATTTGGCCAGCGTTATTAGCAATAAAGATGGCTTTGAAATCAAGGAAATCTCAATAAAGTAAGGCTGTGAAAGGCCAGAGGGGTGTTAGTATACCACAGCAAATCGACTAAAATTCAGGTGTATAACAGCTATGTCAACTAGCTCGGTGTTTTTATATGGCAGGAGTATTGGGAAGCATTGCACTGTAAAAACAGACCAGTTATGGTAACTATATTAAAAGGTTATAACCAGTTGCAAAAGGTAATTTTAACCTAAAATAAACTAGTTAAAATCGTAACCTTTATGTTATTGGTTAGATTAACCAATGATCAGCAGTTGTTGTGACGGTTATAATTCCGTTAGAATATCGACCTGTCAAAATAACTTTTCATGGCAGTCAAAATAACGAAACCAAATGGTTAAGCAAATGGTAAAAATGTGCATCTAACCTGAAATCAATTGGTTAAAATCTTTTATTAACTATTTGTTGGTCATGACTAACCAATAATGATCTGTTATTTAGAGCTATGAAGTAGGTTAAACACTGAATGGTCAAAACTGACTTTTCCGAGGGGTTAAACTGAACGGAAAACCACAGAAGGAAATGGCTACACAAACGGCGGGTATGAGTTTACAACAACAGATCATAAAAGCCTTGTACCCAACCTTCAACGCAGACCTTTCCCTTACGCTGAAGAAAGAACAAATAATCAGCATTTATTACGGGATTTAAGATAGGTTAAGACTGAATAGCCAAATCAACTTTCCCCAACAGTTAAAATATTTTAGATGACTTGCATCCAACTCGCGTCTTGCTTCAATGACTGGGCTGGTACGCACGCGAGAGAGGCGAAGTCGCGTGACGCGAGGACTATTTTCTTCTCTGATGTTTCCTTCGACGGACTAGCCGAGAGAACTAATCGTCATCTAGGTGAAATGATTCTTCAAGATGTCCTGTACAGGTTATGTCATTCAAATCAATGCTGAGCTCCTCGAAAAGCCAACAGCTATCCTCGCGTGCTTTCAAAAAAATACTTTCGTGTTTTTCACCGGTCACAAAATTCCAGCGGGTTTCCGGTATTTGTCTTAAGTGACCTAAAGTAACTCTATTTCGTCACGTCACGAACCCTAAATGGCGTTAAATGTTCTCAGTAAATTAAAAATCTTACTCAGTATCCTTTTTATAAGCTTAAACTATTTCATGGTTGGAAACATGTTAGGCGAGTTTACTCGAAAAACAACTAAGGGTTTTCAGAAAATGTTGCACTGTTTCCTGTCAACTGTAGTATGTTACTTAACACCTTGACGTTAATCTACTTAGCTAGCCAATGAGAGACTTGGAATTTCAAAATCAATGCCAAATTCGGTTCTCGTAGTTCAGTTTTTTAACCGCCTTGCGCCAAGCTGAATTCAGTACTCTTGGTTCATTGCTGCGAAAAGAAACATTTTATATTTCGCCTAGATAAAGCCCCTCAGTTAAAAGTCAATGGGAGCTCGTTTCTTAGTCACGGACAGCAATGGAGATGTGGCAAGTAAAAAGGTAATGTGATTTCAGATTTATGCAAGTCCGAAGATACTCTGCGAGCAGAGTCTCCTTCGATCTTCCTAGATAAGTCGACTTATCTAGGAAGATCGAAGGAGACTCTGCTCACAGGGTAGTCCGAAGACAACGTCTTCAGAATAGATCTCTCACTTGAATTTCAGTCTTTACTGCTTCTACAAAATTCTTAGCTAACGAATACCTTGCAAATCTTTTATTCAAAGGAGGATGATAAGAAGATCATGACAGAATTTACTTCAGTTGACCGCCTGAAATAGATAAGCAAAATATCTGCCCCGTCGACTAAAGACAAATGAACAGGCAAAATCTCGAACACTTGTTTCACCGACCTTCACTGAAACAGCATGACCGGTATGTATTACTTATTTTTAAACAGAACTCTAAATCGTTTTTAAAATTATCTTTTTGCAAATAAATGGACGCGTTTTGAGACAACCCCACGCACTTGCGTGGCCCTTTAAAGTTTTCTAAATGTTCAGTACAGTTGCATAGATTTTCCGGTCTTCGGATGACCATTTTAATTGCATTATTGTACTGCTGTTACAGAGCTATCATACGCTATTACAAAGCTTTTTTTTAAATGTAGCTTTGAGTCGCGCGTTGCTCACGATGACCACGCACACGCGTGCGTGCGTGTTCCCCACAGGCGTATCGCTGAAAGACTGTAATCTTTCGTGCGTTAACCAGTGAACTTAAAAACGAAATATTTTCGTTTATTTCAGAAATATCACCAAATTTGAACGACTGAGGGAATAAACAACTTTGAATGAAGCTCGGCGAGTACCCATATTTTCATTACAAGCAAGACAAGTCCTGATCCGGCGGATGAGTTACCCTCAACGAGCCACTGCTTGGAATAGGATCTTTCTTTGCTTTCTAGTAGAAAAAACATGGCTTGTAGAACAATGCAGGGCACTGGTAGTTTTTAGATCATATGCTTCGCTTCAATCATTAGCCAAAGAAAGAAAGTTACATGTACAGTCGGTGAGGAGTTAACTCTTCACTGGCAAGATCTTACAATTATTATATCATTGAATCTCACGAAATTCTTAATTCCCTATGTATTTGACAAAGCATTTTTGGCAGGAAAGGCACTTATACCTTAAGGGTTTAATTTAATCAAAGTACTGTATCACTATTGATCCTGGAGTTACTTGAATTTTTTCTGCTTACGGATGTTTCTGTTTTACAATCATGTGCCAGTGTACAAAGCCTTGTTTGCAGTCTTGTGAGAGTCATGCAGTATTCCAATTTAAATTTGCTATAGTTTAGGAAGCAGGGCTGATTGTTTAATCATCCTTGTTCTGCTTTAAATACTTGTATTAAGAAACATAAGCATTTTTTACTTGCAGTGTTGTATGGTTATCTTTTTTTATGAAGTTAGTGGTCAACTATGTTGTTGTTGTTGTTTGTAGAGAACGGTTAACATAACCATTAAAATTGTTGCTGAAGACTATTATTGTGAGGTTAATGTAATTCATTATTATCAGTTAAAACAACCCTTTTCTTCTAACCCATATGGAATGGTTAAAGCTACCACCTTTTGACTATTTTAAATGGGTTACCACGTGCACAGATTCATCACTAGTACCCAAAAAACTGGTTTACCATGACCACAAAAAATGGTTATTATAACTTATCTGTATGGGTTGAAACATATTTATCTTTTTATTTCGGTTATAACAACTAAAAATTTAAAGTTAGTTTAACCAAAAAGTAGAGGTTATGACAAACAATTATAAAACGTTATGAGAAGTGGCGTGGGCTGTGGTAGAAACAACCATTTTTAAGGGTTAATGTAACCCATAAAGAGAAGTTATTTCAACGGGAATAAAAAATGGTTAACCTGAACTATATTTTTTTGGTTACTGTAACCTAATAAAATACGGTTACCTGGGATTCAAACCTTAACCATTTTTTTGAGGTCACTATAAATGGTCAGTTTTTACAGTGTGGGTAAGAAAGATGTGAGTTAAGATGAAGTTTTTGACAACGGCTAGCGACGGGGGATCTGTAATGGCGAACCGGAGGAGGCAGGCTTTCATTCTCAGAGGGTCCCCAAAAGGGTTTTTCGCTCCCGTAATCCCCACCCAAAACTTCATGCAATTCCGTAATCCCGAGAGTTATGTTTGGCATCCCACCTCCCGCGCATACTTTCAATCCCAAATCTCGCTCTGATTTTGCTTTAAAGTCCCGAATCCCGAGCTTCAAATGAGGGAAATCACGTATCCCGAAAAACCTATTGAGGACCCTCTTCTTAGCATGACAGCCCCTTAAAAATCTCGCAGGGGTCAAAAATTTTTTCTTTGTTCCCTTATTTATCTCAAGTTTCTTTCTAGAGTCAATTCGTTGGGTTTCTCACTTTCAGCACGCGCGCACAAGTATACAATTGGCTTTTTGTGTCCTTCGTACGAGTGTGACTTGCACACTTGATTCACACAGTAAAACTCCACCGTCTGGCCGAGATTTAGCTCAGTCGGTAGAGCTCTCCTTTATGCAATCCTTGTAATCCTGAGATTCTGCTCCTGAGTAAAATGACGCCAACTTGCCAATAGCCTATTGTCATACTAAATGAGAACAAACACATGTGACAGGTATTTCACTAAATTGTACGTTTATTTCTCAAAAAAACTCTAATCCTAATCGCGGGACCGCGGACCGCGGGGCTAGTGTCCTTGTTATTAGCAAGCAAGAGTCTGCAGTAGAAAGGGAATTTAGCTGCTGTTCGTACTGCCGATGTGCGTGCAAGACGAGAGTGACTGTATACCTATAGTCGCTATGCATTTCGTTTCCGATTTTACAGAGTGCATCCCTATACCCACCAACATTAAAACAAATAAGCAGATTCATATATATCCCGCACTTCCCGGAACATCTTGTCCTAACTAGTAACACATCTGTCCCTCGCAGTTTATTTAACAACTACATGGCGTTCTTGGACACAGTGTATATTTGTGATTACCTTGACTAATGACATAGAAACTTTTATTGCTAATTAAATGTGTTATTTTAGTACCTAGTTTGTCTTCCTGGTAAGTTCTATTACTATAATTGTATTTCTTACTTGATCTTCAAAACAACTTAAAACAAAATTTGATATCCTCTTTTTAAGTTTAAAGAAAACTGTTCTTGCTAGTTAACTCGAGTAGTACGTTGAGCTATATTAAAGTGCTATATAGTTTTTTCTTCTCCGTTTGCTTAAGTTATAATAGAAATTCAAATACTGAAGTCCTTTTTTCCGTTTTTTGATAGCATTATGTATTACTTTACTTGCACCTTGTCTTCAGTTAGTGCCACAATAACGGAGATCACAAAAAGGTGTACCACTAAGATAGTACACATAATATGAACCACAATTTCTCACTTTGATGTTTGTTGACCATTGACAGCAGCCTGCAGCCCAGTGGAAACACACCGTCCTGCTGACCTGACCGTCTGCGACGGTGGGGTGTCCACCATTCATCCAGCCGGTGGATTGAGTGCCGCATCTGTATCTAGGTGGACATGAAGTTGGCATTCTTGTGCCGGCTGACCCCTCAAAACGAAACCAGCCAGGTACGATTCCATTGTCACAATGACCGCCACTGGAGTCCGTAATCTTTCTGGTATAACTGTAAAGGCTTCCGTAATTCTGACATTCTGATACATAAAAAAATAATGATTTAACTTTTACAAAGTTAGAAAATCATTGAATATTTTGATATTTTTTTGTAATTTATTGTTTCCAAACGTTTTATCTACTGTACATAAACAGGCTCAAAGTGGGTAATTTTCACGTCCTGTAAGATCCCCAACACCTGCCCCACTGTGGCGATAATTGTCTACATACGAGTACTATTGAGGATTGGTTACTGGCTTTCACACACTGCTAGATATACAGACCGAGGTTAAGCAATAACATGGGAAAGGGAGACAAATATATCTGTAGGTATTCTTTAGCTGCCTCGATCTGCCATTGCAAATGGATGAGTGATCTCTGCTAGATGCGATGAAGTAGGGAAATAGTAGGGTAAATATTAATTCTCGCGGAGCGAGTGTATAATTACGCGGATTACGCGGATTACGCGAGGATCGCAAGCGAGCTGCGATTTCTCTTTGGTCATAAATCTTTCTGTCGGTTTGGTATCCGCAGTTGCCTAGCAACAAGCCATGAACAAATAATAAAGACGCCAAATGCACGTCATCGTGCATTTTGGGTTTCCAGGCAACACGGCCAGCGACTTTTTATTTATCCTCTGTTTATTGTACGCTGGCGAATCGCAAAGTATTTCTGAGGCAAATAACAGCGGGCTGAAAACACAACAGTGCCCAATTGGACAAGTGGAAGTCCTTGCCGTAGAAGGTTTAACACCGAAAGAACGGTGACCTGAACTCCAGCGAGAGCAGCGAAGAAGAAGACCACTCCGTTAATCGAGCGGCTTCTTTAAAGCCCGAGAGTGAATAAACACGGAAATAATGCGAAATGGTTTTGAAATACTCGTTTGAGCTATTTTTCCTCATATGTATCTTTGAATTCATGATAAATACCGCTCCATAAGGTTCAAACAGTGTGAATGGCAGAGGAAAATACTTCAACACTATTAATTATGATGAGTAGAGGCCGCACCTTTTCGCTGGAGGAAGTTGGGGTGCAACTGGGTTCCAAGCCCGGCGTGTCTACTTCAATTTTTTTTTTCTTTCATCGTTTTTTACCCTTTGGCTTTTTACTGTTTATTCTCACTGCTGACCCCGTTAGCTTCGCGAGATTTTTGCGAAACCGTATTTCTAGTTTTATGCACTAAAATTGCTTCATTTCATCACATTGACGCTTTTCTTTTTTTTTTATGAATAAGGTTTTTCTTTTTCGGGCAAAAGTTCTTGTTGTTGTTTGTTTTAGAGTGAATTTTTTTGGACTTCGATTGTTTTTGTTCAAGTACGTTTTGACTTTTCATTTTGCTGCAAATTAGGATGACCGTATTACATAACAGTTCATTTGCATTACTATTTATATAAAACGTTCATCCTTATCTGCATTAAATTGTTTCAGCCATTCTAACTCGTATTTTCCCTCAGACCGAATTAATCCCCCTCCCTCCCCGCCCCAAGTGTTTAAATTCGTAAAGTCCATTGGACGATACGCCTACTAAATATTGATAAGTTTTTCAATGAAGTTTCACCTTATTCAGTAAAGCATGATAAACGTGCAAAGTTGCTAATCTAAATTTATTACTATGGCGGTCTTCAATGCTTAAGCTCCCCCAATGTAATGTTGCGCACGGTACGAATATATTACTGATTGAAGTCGTGTTTATCTTCGTTTGGCGTTCTGGGTAAAATGTCGTAAAACAAATTTGCACAGAATTAATAAATAAGAATAAAGTAAAAGAAGAGCGAAACAAAATACACTGTAAGGGAAAGGAAAGCGGATGCAGCAAACTGAATTTCTTTCAAAGGTCACCGTGAATGAATAAAAACAAAATATAAGACACAATATACTAAAAAAAGGGGAAAAAGATACTAGCGAATTAGGATTTAGTGGAACATTCTCTGTCTCTTGCTTTGGGTCTATCTCCGAATGCATGCAGTTTATATCTCCAGTCGACAAAAAAGATATGTTTACCCTATCGCCAAATAACTAAGACCACTAACTTAAGTCTTCCTCTGTTCAACTTAAAGTTGTAGAACTTAGGTAACAGTTAGTTCTCGACGGTAAGTTAACCGCTTCGCAGTTAATCGGCAAAATTAAGGAAATAAACTCGCCTGATTAAAAGTAATAGTGCACATATCGTGATCGATATAATGATTTTTTTGTTCCCCGCCTTAACATGGCGGAGACAAGTTCAAAGTGTTCGTCTTCTATTGAAGCTTATATTGAGATAACCTTATTTAGTCATAATCAGTTCATATATTCAACAATTATTGAACGAGTGAGAAGAGTGAGAAGCTCAAACATTTGTTGAAGGCTGGTTTAGTCACTTAGGTACGAAATGAGTATTAGGACAATCCTACCGGATGTAACGACGTTCCCTATGCCGGCATAATTATTAGAGGTTTAGTAAACGGACATCTTCCTAATATTCGGCGAGTTGATTACCTGATGCTAGATTGCACGATCTGCCATTTCCAGTGTAAGGATTGTCGCATGAACAACTAAAAGATCCCACTGTGTTTGTACATGAAGCAAGTGAACTGTGGCAGTTATGAGTACCGCTGGAGCACTCGTCAATATCTACAAAACGAAAAATGCCAAAATGTATAATCAGAACGGTTTTCATTGCTAAAAGAAAACAGAACGAGAAAAAGGAAATGAATTATCTTAAGCGTGATGCCCAAAAAAAAAAAAAAAACAGTAATGAAAGAGCTGCTCGTAAGGTGTTTCCTCATTGGTCGCAGAAACAATAACACATGATTGTTTATCATTATTTCTCATTGTTTTACGGTTAAGGTATCGAACCAAGTGACTTTTTGGCCAAAAAAAAAAAAATAATAATCGCAGGGTTGAACAGTCGCCATCGTTGCACTTGTCATATAAACTGGCCGCTTGGCTCCGCTTTTGTTTTTGTTTACTAAATAGTCAATACTAAAATTAGTATAAATTCCAGCCTAAACAAAACTTTAACTGTAAAAGGCGAGAAGAGCACAAAAGACTGTTGCATTGCTGTCGTTGCTGTCGGTTCACTCAAAAAACAAACATATCTAACAAACAAAATTGTACTCAAACGGCTCACCAGTGCATGTGAATCCATCTCCTGTGAATCCTGCTTTACATGGGCATGCGTAAGATCCAACAGTATTACTACACACGGCATTAACGTCACAGCTGTGAGAGTTGGTAGAGCACTCGTCGATATCTGGAAAAAAAAGTGAGGAAGGCTTCTTGTTTAGTGATGCAGCAAACTCTTGGTCAACAAGGTCATTTACTCTCATTCTCTCTATGCGTTAATCCTGTTTAAGTACAATAGGTAATCGATTTTTTTTTTGCCTTTTTTACATAGAAACGAAGGGAAAAAACATTACATTACACCAGAAACTCATAAGGGTTTGATTCAAGGCATTTAAAAATCAAATAGGACAATTAGACAAAAAGAAAACAGAAGAGAAAGGAGTCCTAGGTCTTACGACAGATTAGACCCTTGTCACCTAATCAGTTTCTAACCGGCTGGGCTTGACAATTGTGAAAGAACGAGTTTAGTGAAATTTCGCGAGATACGTATTTCTAGTTTCGCTTTAATTATTATTTCGAACTATTGAGGTTATATGTCCATCGTTTTCTACATGTTGAAATGTAAAGATGGAATATAGAAAACACAGGCACGCACATCGTTTGGAAGCGTTTTTTTACAACACCGCAACAGCTTACCAGAGCATGTTTTTCCATCGCCTGTGAATCCTGCTTTACATGCGCATGCGTACGATCCAACAGTATTACTGCAAACCGCATTAACGTCACAGCTGTGAGAGTTGGTAGAACACTCGTTGATATCTGCATGAGAATTGTAAGTTACGTAAAGCGTTAGAATAACTAATATTAAATCTACCTGATGGTTTACATCTGGTAGCTAAGGTGAATGCATCCATTTTTTTTGGTTCTTGTTTGTTTGTTGTTTTTATGTTTTAACAAATATGATTTTAG